CGGCATGGGATAAGCATCAAACTGTGACACCTCATTCACCTTGCGATAGTCTACGCAGAACCATATAGATCCATCTTTCTTCACTACCAGAACTAACACACCATCACGCCAGGCCGCTTGTCAAATTGATGCACCATAACAGTCATACAGCTGGGTAAGGGGGAGAACACATTTGCAAAATGCTGGTGCAAAGCAGCAACATCCACAACATCCACATCCACGCCTGTGTGCGATGGTCATCACAAATGAAGGGAGGCAGGAATGGTCAAATCTGGAGTTCAACCAACGATCCCAGTTGCGTTCATCTTCGTGAACGAACTTCCGAATCATGGACATTAAGGTCTTATTCAGCCGCTCCACCAGCCCGTCATACTAAGGATGGTAGGCTTAATGCCCTACAATTTGTAAAGTTAGACATCTATGAAGTTCTTTGGTCAGTCAGTATCTTTTTCAGGATACCGACTCAAGAGATGACCTGAAATAGCACCTGTGCCACACTTAGCAGAAATGGTGTGCAGTGGCACTGTTTCTGGATATTGCCTTGCAAATCCACCAGAACTAACACAAAGCGATAGCCGTGTGAAATGGCCCGATGAGGTCCATGCCAATGCGCTCGAACAGGACCTCCATTAATGGTAATGGGTGTAACTGGAGAAGGCCCCACTGACTCCTCCGCTGAGCACCGCACAGACCTCGCATGTCCCTACCGGCCGCGATTGCATACTAACACACAGTCCAATTAGTTTACCGAACTTCCGTCATCCTGCCTGTTACACAGCTTACCATGGCAGGATATTTAAAAGTAAAATGGGAGGCGGACTCTTCAGCTTTCATGCCTCTCTTCGGTGTTGGGTGCTCTCCACTGACTGTGCCAGAATAAAATACGAATAGTAGACAGCAGGAATAAATAACAAACAAGAGAAAGTCACACACTGGAGAACAAATGCTTGGAAGTAGTGCAAAGAAAAGACTCTAGAGTCGAGATTGGGGTGGTGGGTGGAGGATAGTGTTTGTTAGCAGTCTGACTGGCCCAGGGGAAGAAGCTGTTGGTGAGTCTGGAGGTGTGGGACCTGACTGGCCTGAGAGGGCAGCGGGTCAAATAGGTGGTGGCCCTGGTTTTCCTGAGACAGGAGGATCTGGAGATGGCCTCCAGGGATGGCAGAGGGCAGCCAGTAAGTTATTTGGGAGGTGTTAATGACCCCCTGTGCAGCCTTCCTGTTTTCAGTTGTGGCCCCTGAGTACCAAACACGAGGCAGGAGGAGAGCACACTCTCCACTGAGGAGGGGTAGAAGCTTCACACAGGGTAGCTGTGTGAGAATGCTGTTTGTTGATTACAGTTCAGCGTTTAACACAATAGTGCCCTGCAGACTGTTTACAAAGCTCAGGGATCTGGGACTCAACAGTCGTCTGTGTGCATGGGTGTTGGACTTCCTCACTGGCAGAACTCAGGTGGTGAGGGTGGGTAGATGCATCTCTAACAGCATCACCATCAACACAGGAGCACCTCAGGGATGTATCTTCTTGCCACTGCTCTACTCCCTCTACACTTCAGACTGTGTGGCCGCCCGCAGCTCCAACACCATTGTGAAGTTCGCTGACGACACAGTGGTGTTGAGCGCCATCTCCAACAACGATGAGGCGGCCTACATGGATGAAATGAAGAATCTGGCATCACGGTGCCATGATAACCACCTCCAACTGAACGTTGGCGAGACCAGGGAGCTGGTGGTGGACTTCAGAAGGAGTCACCACAGAGACTACAAGCCCGTTATCATCAATGGAGCTCCAGTGGAGAGGGTGCAGTCCTTCAAGTATCTTGGTGTCCACATCTCCTCAGACCTGACATGGTCTGCCCACATTCAGGTCCAGACCAAAAAGGCTAGGCAGCGCCTGTACCACCTACGACAACTGAGGAAGTTCAGGGTCTCTCCAAAGATCCTCAGGACTTTCTATACAAGCACTGTGGCGAGCATCCTCACACAGAACATCACATCCTGCTTTGGGAACAGCTGCCCCCGCTTCAGGACACCTACACCAGGAGATGCCGGACTAGAGCAGATACTGAAGGACCCGTCCCATCCTGGAAACAAACTGTTCCAACTTCTGCAATCTGGTAGAAGGTTCCGCATCATCCGGGCAAGGACAGAGAGGCTCAAGAGGAGCTTCTACCCCCAAGCCATCAGTTAGCAGTTATAGTGGAAGTGAGATAGCAGTAGGACAAGTAAAGATTTTCTTTGTAAACTTTTTACCAAAACCCTTAATATTATTGTCTAC